ACTTCAGGGCTGACTTAATATAGTCTGAGCCTAAGAACACAACATTAATATTTTTCTGAAGATGGATTTACCAGAAAAGATGAATTACTTACTTTGCTGCCTTCTAGAATGAGAATTAAATTACTGGTCTTGTCACGGGTTCAAAAAGGAAGTTTAGCTTTTCTCTTTCCATTAAAATTTAAAACTGTAAAATGGACAACATGAATCTAGATATAAATAATCCCTGTGACACTCAGATTTGCTTACCTTTACTATAGGTAGAGGAATGCTCCTTTCTGCTCAGTTTGAGGTATAATTTGTGCTTGGAATCGCCATCAAAATTGGCATGGGTATTCATAAATTTCTTTAACTTCTTAAACTGTTTTGTTTGAATTTCAAAGGCTTTCCTGTTCAATTATATTTTTAAGAAAAACTGTTAACCAACAGCACATTTGGAATCATCACAAAAAAATTAAAAAAGAGGTCCAGAGAAGAGACCAAGCCATTACAACACAGGTTTTGGTGTTTGTGCATCTTTTTAAATTAGCAAGGCTTAAAAATATTTATGTCTACTAGGAAGTAATTCTGATAGTCAGATGAATTTAAATTGTTTCTCCCACACTTAAGTATAGAAAGTCTCTAATAGTAACATCCAAATAAGTATGTTGTATCCAGCCAGGTTTTCCTCTTCTCATTAATATTAATGACTTTTACTAATAATGACTTTTAATAATGATCTTTAATAATAATGATTTTTACTATGTCTGCTTTAAAAAGTATCACCCCAAGAATATATCAGAGACTGTCCTAAACTCTCCTACCAAATTTTAAGTGAATAATAAATCAAATGGACAGTCATAAGGACCTTCACTGAGCAGTTAATCAAGTTGCGAGTAAGCAGGTTTGATTCTTGATGAAAGGCATACTGTCCTGAAATGCCAATGCTATTAATATTAATCCTTCAATAATTTAGCTTTTAACTTTCTATACAGAACTGTAACCCTTTTAAATAGTTTCTGAATGTGACTTTTAAATTCTACTGAAATACAGAGTTACTAGTATATCTACACATATCCCACACTTCACATAATCCTACTACGAGGTGTATAGCTTTCAGAATACCTCACCAAAAGCTGGCATCCCTCATAGAGGGAAATCTTTTGACTTCTGAGGTATGCCCCAATACTTTTTATATCATGAAGCACTATACTGGGTCTGGATTTTATCTGCCCTTGGTTCACCTCTTCTATCCATTTGAAAAATGAACACTGCTCAGCTTTTGGAGCATCACAAGTATAGAACAAACGACCCTAAAGGGAAAAGAAAACAAAACAAAATAGACCATTAGCACTTTAAAACAAGCGAAAATGCATACAGCAATCGACCAGTACTAGCTGCTATATAATACAAGTAGGTAAAGCTCCTTTTTATTCAGCACATTCTTCTGAAAGAATGTGTCTGTTTTTTCCTCATATTCCTCATACTCCGGAGCCACTCTAATCCTCATGTACAGAATTCCCCTATAACCTAGACAATTAAAAGTTTGGGTCTTTCTCTCCACATACACGAAACTGTTTCCATATGGACAGAACTATTAGCTCATTAATTCTGGACATCAGTAGATATTAAAACCGATCTTAAAAGCGATCTCTATAACATATCACTTTAACCTGTAATTGCAAAATACATTTACAGACCTTCTTTAATTGCTCAGAGAATGTAATCCACATGACAAAGAGACAAACATCCCAAATTGTAAACAAATGAGGAATAAACAGCACCTTGTTCTGACCTTCTTTTTTAACCACAACAAGCTTAGCAGGAAGCATGTGATTGCACAGGGGAACACGGCTTTCTTTGCTCTCATTTTGCCCATCTTTCGATGAAGTGTAAAATGATATATCCACTTTGGAAAGAGCCTTGTGTAATCTTTGTGACAGCTCAAATAGAATTATGTTTAAATGCTCTTGACATAAAAAGGAGAATAAAAGAGCAATTAGTGCAGCAGCAAAATGGTTACAGGAGTACACAACATTAAAGCAAGCACATTTTCATTAGAAATTGTCAATCTCAAATCTAAATTATTTAATCTGAATCCTAAAAGAGACCCCTTATCTTCTGGGCCTACAAAGTCCACATTTTAGCACATGCAATTGATTTATTACAATTGCCTTACTTCCACACTAATCACATTTAAATGTATGGCTCCAAAAGATCCAAACATTAAATAACTATACCTGCAAAAAAGAAAAAAACTAATGTAAATACTGGTAAACAAACTCATGTTTACATAGTTGGATCATAAGTAAGCTAGTCTTTTAGTTTGTTTTTGCAACTTTGAGTACAGACTGAACATATCTGAGTATATAAGATAACCAAAACCAAATGGAAAAAGTTGCTCAAAAGAATGATGTGGACATTATCTCCCTCCCCAACCAGTTTTGGGAAGCGTCAGAAATGTGTATTTTTAATTACATCCTATTCACAAATGACAGCATTTTCAGAGCATTAGACATACCTGTCAAAGCAGCTGTAAAAATTTGTTTGTAATGAACATGAGACTGAAAAACAGACGGAATGGCAATCTTTCTTTTAGGAAGATTAGTATTTTTCACTTTATCCACATTAGGAAAGGACAACTCAGAAACTGTTAAGTTCTAAGAAGTAGAAAAATAAACCATTAGAAACTTGAAAAACCTGACTATAGAATTCCTTAGAGAAATGACTAAATATGCATAAATGAATCTTCATATCCAGCAACTGGACAGGAATGCCAAAACTCATTTTCCCTCCCTCCCTCAAGCATCGTGCTCAGATTTGGAGATACAGCTTGCAGATACAGCATTGCTACATTTCAGGATCTCATTCTGCAACCAGAAGTTTCAAGATGAAGACTGTCAAGGAAGAACCAGTTTTCCAAAAGCAAAATATAAATCCCCTTCTCCACCAAACAAACCTGGTTAGCTCTAGGTACAGTTAACCAACTGCTGGCTGGCAACAGGAATAAAATTAAGTAGAGCTAGAGCTATAGTAGTGAGAGCTTGGATTATTCTTAATGATGGTCAACAAAGTTAAATTTGTCCTGGGACATACAGACTGCATTTTGAAAACCATAGGTAAAACTTGCCAAGGTTTTAGAGTAAATTATGTAAATCAGAGATGTGTTTTAGCCTTTCACACAAAGAGGGAGCACACAAATCCTATTTTTGGCACTGTTTCTGAATTGAAATATAACTCTCCAGAAAGAAAAAAAAAAAAAAACCCTACAGCAAGGGTAGTATAGACCAGAGAAAAAAAGAATCAGACTAGCACTATTGCCAGTTTGATTTGAGCCTATTGCCAGTCTCCCCTTTAGTTAGTCCCCAAAAAACTTCCCTCAATTTTTGGCACTGCAGTTGATTCTGGGCATAATAGTGATGATTTTTCTCAAAAAGTTTTTTTTTAAGATCCATATATTTGGATAGAGTATATATGTGCATACATATGTAAGTCTATACACAAACATGTATACACACACATGTATACACACACATGCACAAAGTATATACCAGTATATATGAAATACAGTGGTATTCGCCCCTCTAGTTTACATGTATTTTACTGAACAAACATGCTTTAAGAAACTAGAGAACAGTGCACGCATTTGTGTCAAGAAAAAAAAATACATTTTTCATCAGCTCTCAAGCATAGCTACTTGACAACTTCTAAAAAGTGAATTCTGTTTTCACTATTTGTTTCAGATCATCTACTATTCACAAATAGCTGTATTAATTTAGACTTCTTATTCAATACTACAGCTTACTTTTAAATATTTAAAAACTATCTGTAATGTTATGAAGAAAGATGTGTTTGCAAAAACAACACTGATTTCACAGTGTTTCTGTTTCACAGAAAACAACTTTTTAAAAATATGTTCTGATAAATCAGTCCAACTAATTTACTGTGTATTCCTGCCAACAACAGTCAGATTATAAATCTAATTGTCACTACCTGTGTCAATGAATTATCTTTATAAAGGATTAGTCATGGCTCTGAAAAGTATATTAGTAACTGCTGTTCTGTAGCTGAGACTCCTTTGTGTTACTAAAGTGTGCTGAAGAAACACTTCACCCAATCACAGTGATAGTATCTCACAGAAAATCAGATGAATGCAGTTACTTTGTCCAGGAGAAAAAAAAAAAAAAAAGCATTTTTGTCATAACTATATCTGCTTGAACAGTTACACACCTGGGCTTCTCCTCTTGCAGTGTGGCAGCTCAGATGACTTAACACCTTTTGTGTTGCTTCAGCTAAAGGTGCCCGACTTAAGTGCAGAGAAAGTAACTTCCTCTCTGAAATTAGATCTCTGTCCTTGTCATTTGCACAGCGTTTTCCATCCATGCGCTTTCCTGTCCGCAGAGGCACAGAGCCGGGAGCGCTTTTACTCACAAGGCTGCTCTGGCTCTCTCCTGTGTCACCCAGTGGCATTCCAAGGATGTTCTCCACCCAGATATCATCAGTCACTTCCACATCACTGCTGTTTTGAGTTATCAAGTCACACTGAGCATTGTTTTGGTATTTTAGCCACTTGCTTTGTCTATATTGTGAAGTCACATTAGGAAACATTGGTTGTATAGACTCCCTTTGTTCATCTTCTGTGTACTCTTCAAACATCAAGGTTTCAGAATTCCTGTCCTCAGGGCCAAAAGCACCCATAGGAAACACTGCTGACTGGTTGCACAAATTGACTCCTGAAGATCCAACAGATTGCTGAACCCCCTCGCAGTCACTCAGATAAACTTCTGCGGCAGGAATCTTCCCAGTGGCAGGAACAGTGACAATCGGGGCTCGCGCTTTACTGGCCAGTTTGACCCTCGAGAGGTTGCCTTCTTCTGCATAGCTGGATTCCTCCTGTGCTGTAGGATACATACATCTCACAGGCAACATGCACCACTTGCAAATACACAGAAATAGAGCTAAATAAAGAAAAATTTCAATGCTCTCCATTTTCATTTTACATCCTGTCTTCTAATTGGCAAGCTCTTCTGTTACTCTCTTTCATCATTCAAAACAAGCAACTATGACTCTTATTTATATCCCTATACTCTGGGCACATTTTTATATACAAACTACTTTTAGGCTGAAATTATTTAAATTCTGGAAGTTATTAAAAACTATGATATTTTTGGCTGTCACTACAGTTGCTAACTGAAAAACAAATGTGAATCAGATGCTCTCGCTACTCTGGATAACGATGCTGTGTTTGGAGAAACATGGGTTATTGCTGAACCTGACCAAGCTGGACAGACTGCGTGCGCCCAGGTGCCGAGTTTACAGTGCAAAGCATCTCTGAAGCTAGCAAAAATACATTCTATGAAACCATCAACTTAATATTTGTTTCCTTCCCCAAAATATTACACAGAAAACTGTGTAGAATTAATATTAACCAAAAAGGATAACAGGTTTTTAGCATTACAAGCATTATTTGGTTTAAATTAAATATCAATAAGAAGCAACAGACAATCACACAGAAGGCAGCATAACGAAGAAAACTATAAGCAAGTAAATAAATGCAGAACACTAGCATGAATTAGAAGCTTAGCTTACAGACTGTTTTATTTATTTATTTATCAAACTAGAAGCTATTTCTTTATAAATAGAACCAGTCTAGTAAAGCTTCTTTCAAGAAAAAGGGTATTATTTTAAATGGAGGGAAAATGGACCCCAAGCTAATTTAATTGATCTGGCGAAAGAGTATTAAAATTGTATTAAAAATGACAAACATATATACAAGCATGATGAATACAAATAGAAGTCTGTAGTTACCCAGACACATACGGAATCAGACTATTTCAGGGCACAGGGTGCTTCTATAGTTGGATTCGTGCTCCCATGAATCTCAGATTTTCTAGCAAAAATACTGTGAAGCACAAATAACAACTACAATTTCTTACTGAAGAAGCATTCTGAAAGTTCTGTGTTAGATGGTAACATCCTGTCCGACAGGGCCTCCTGGATATCTTCAATAGTTTCCTCATTTCTTGAAGTTGGAGATATTAGAGGGTCTGAATTTAGTGAGAAAGTTGGTTGTATGGATGAAATCTTCTAGAGATGAAAAATTAAAATGTCAAGTGAAGGACACTGGGGAGGCGAGGAGAGAGGGAAACAACTTGATAATAGCTCTTTTGCCACTGTTCCCTCATCATTCTAATTGAAATATCTTTCAGCTGAGATTAGAAAGTACTAAATATGACATAAAATATCTACCATAAACACAGAGAGAGGGGAGCGGAAGAGGGGAAGAAAAAAAAAAAAAAAAAAAACACACCCTACAAGGGAGCCAATTCACACCTTGCAAGGTTCCCAGGAAGTCCACTGTGTTTGCTCCAAATCAGAACGCAAGGGTGAGCCCAACATAATCTGCTTGGGAACTTCAGCACATATACTCAGTGCTAAGGCTAGGAAAAATATGGGAAGGACAACAGTCATGCTGCATTTTTTTTCCGAGCCCAACAACTGCCATTCTACTTTTACTTTCACTTACGGGTTTCATCCACTATTGTCTCCTTAATAATGTTAGACTTCTTTTGAAAATTCCCTTCTCCAGTCATACTGCTATCATGTTCATGAAAATTTCTTGAATGTGGAGACTTTACAAAAACAGTATGAATAAAAACTTGTTAGAAGTTGAACTTTTTTTTTGATCCTCTCTTTAAATACTGTTTTTTGGATGAAGATCTTATTTCTAAACATAAATCTACAGCATCATCTATAGTACATTCTGGAAATAAAAACATGCATGCTTCTGATTTGCTTCCAGTTTTACAATACTGAAAGGATACTGCATTAAAAAAACAGCTTGTGTTATGTTGTGTCTCGTGTTTCATTTTCACTCAAGATGAGTATCATACTACTAACCACAGGAAATAACTCTTATAAAAGCCCCTTGCTACTTTTTTTCCCTATCTGATCACGTTCATTTTGGAAACAAAATAACCACCCACCTCTACCCTCCCAAACACACACAGAGACAAGATGTGCTTGTCTTGCAAACACATACTCCTGAGACAAAGGTGAGGAAAATAATTATATCTAATTGCAAAATTTACCCATAAAGTACTAGCCTTAGTTCCTAATGATTTACATACGCTTATAGTGTTCCACTATGCATGGGATAGAATACTGTCTTACAATAAAGTTAGTAAGAATATCTTCAAAAAAAAAAAAGTTTTACCTGTCTGCAGTCAGAAAGAATATGATTGCTTGAAAACAGGGGTGTCAAAAAAATCTCAGCTGCAGATTCCACAGTATCTGGGTACTGGTGCCATCCTAGCGCTGAGCAGGGAGCTCTCAGCATTATCTCACTAGTTGCTGACCCTTTTACTCTGTGCCCTTGAAACTCAACAGGCTACACAATATAGTAAAATTATCATTAACTGAAAACAGTAACTGTTCAGAACTACCTAGTTAATAAAATTACTTTGCATGCATATAACAAAGAACACCTGTTTAGAGCTGTGATAGAGGGAAAATACGTTCAAAGCCATCTTTCCCTTGCACCTCTGCAAATTGGCAACAATAAAGTTTTGGAAAATCTCTTTATCAACAGAAAACTGATTGTCTGATTTAATATGTCCTAGCCTTACTTTCACATTGTGAAATCTGCATTTGAAATTCTCAATGGAAAAGACCCCACAGACAAATTATCTAAAGAGTGAGCCATCTGAGAATACTAATATGAGATTGAGATTGATTAAGTATTTATTAAGACTTCTTGTAACTTAAAGGAAAGGGTGAACTGCTAAATTTAATTTTAGGAGACAGTATTTATTACATATTGATTCCACAGAAATTTTACCTGTGGTTGGCCATCAAAAGTCCTAGCCTCTCCTTGGCCCAGTGCTGTTGGTAGAAGAGATGCTTCAGTTTTCTGTAACATGTAGTCCACACAGAGGGGCTGCGTATAAAAGTACCAAAAACGTATTAGTTAATCAGTTTAAAAAACAATTAAGACAGGCACTTAAGTTAGTAAAACTTAGCACTTTTGAAAAGCCCTATGTATGGTTACAGCAGAGGGCATTTTAAATCATATCCTTTTCATATTGAAGTACCCCTGCCTCACCTTCCCCAAAAAATGACATCAATGATAGGTTAACAAAATATGTTTGCTGCTCAAATGGGTTGGGAAAAACAAAAGAACTCATTCTAAAAATCTTTCTTTCACTTTGGAAAGTGGAGTCAAAAAAGAACTAGTAATAGAACTGGATAAAAATCAATCTGAAGCATCAAGCACAAAGTATTTTTTTTTGAAAAACATTGCTAGCACACCTCAATTCAAATGCTAAAGTTCTTAGGAAAGCCATGAGTCCAAGAAGATGACAAAAGAAAGAAAAGCTAAATAGTAAAAGATTATACAACAGGAAACTGAGTGTCGGACTATAATTTTGTGATATAAAACACAATTAGATATAACAATTGATATTAAGTTTCTTCTCATAGTTTCAGTTTCATCAACACTTATTAGCAATATGGTCCACAAGATTACATGCTTCGTTTACTGTCAGCTTGTTAGTTGATATCTTTAAACAATTTCCAATAACTGTTGTTTCATAAACCATTAATTTTGTAAGTTAAAAACAAGCTTAGTTTGTAGGGATACATATCTGTAGTAAAAAATTGGTTACCGTAAGCTCTGAAGAATCCAAGTATGAACAAGAAGGTATCTCTCTACCTCCCGAATAAGGTATTTCTGTTAATTGTTTTATAGCTACAAGAGATTGAAAAGCATTGTTAGTTGTAGTTACAGTATTTATTTTATAAGAAAAGAGCTGAATATTTATTTAGTTTGGAAACCTTACCCATATGAATAATTGCACAAATGAAAATAACTGAACTACAGCAAACACAGAAGCAGATTTTGAGCCCCCACTGGTGCTTTAAACACTAAAAATTATGTGAAGTAGCTTTCATAACATATTACTCCAAACGTACGATTCCTGGCTATAAATCATCCAGCAAGAAAAATAAAATGCAGAAGTCAAATATGTGAAAATCCATGTATACACATCAATTTAAAATAGAAATCGACCTAACCTTCATCTTTTACAAGGGGTTCAAATATCTCTTTAAAAGTCTCTGCTTCATATAGTAAGCTACTATTTTCCTGTATCTTTTGTAAGCTTTCTAATGCTGTGCTATGTTCAGTCAAAGCTCTTAGAAGAGCGATATTGTTTACCAAATCAGGAAGTTCTGATGATTTTTCAACAAATGCTGTGCTTTTCAGGCAATCCATTCCTATTCTTTCACCTTCGCAGGCATCATGAAGAGAATTTATGCTGTCTATATTTTCAGTTTCACCTATTTCTGTTTCCTCTGGAGATGAATGGCCTGTTCCTAAAAGATAGATAGCACTTCTGGAAATTACAGTATCTTCCTTACAAGAAATGTCAAATACATTTTGCTGATCCTCTGCGCTATATTTGAGTGAGCCACATGAAGCATCAGATTTTTGCGACAAAGCTGGGAAAGGACTACCTGGTTTAATGTCACCATTACTAGTACCCTGGAAACATTCTAAATCTATGTATTGGGATTTTGTGCATCTAAGTGGTAAAACATCTCCTTCCGTTCCTTTGTCCATGGCAGAAATCATTTTGCTGGCAGAAATGCAGGAATTACAGTCCTTGCCTTTTATCAGCTTGTAATTAATGGTATTTGGTGCACAGCCATTAAGGTCCTTCTTAGAGGTCCTACCTTCAATATTTAACTGACTTGAGTCAATCTCTTTTGTTTTGCTTTTACCATCCAAAAATTCCATTTCAATTCTGGTGAGGCTTACAGAGTCTTCTGCAGCTCTCCCAATGTCATCAACATAGTTGTCCTGAGGCAGCAATGATATACCTCCTGTAGAGAGATTCCCATCAGTCTCTCTGTTGAATGTGAAATCTTTGACTTCTTTGTTTTTGCTGTCTGACGTTACTTCACAGGAAAAATGAAGTCTCAATTCAACAGTTTGTGCTGTATCTTTTTCATTTAAACAAGATGAATCTTGTGAAAATGTTGCCTTTTCCCCAAGCTCTTCCACATTTCTTTCACACAGGTCCTTATTATCCAAGTTATTAAAATCAAAAGCCTCCAATAAATTGAAGTTAACCTCCATCAACTGTTCATCTGGACCACTGTCTCTGTCATGTGTACTTAATCCCACTTTTACAGCTTCAAGTCCACTCAACGCCCTATCTGCAGAGAGCTCCAATTTAGTAGATGCTACTTCTGAATTTTGCCTTGGCTGGAGTTCATTTTGTGACTCTGTAAGACCATTGATCACTGAATGCTCCCTGGATGTGGAGGGGTTTATTTCAACGGCAGTGGGCTCAGCTGGACTTGCAGAATAAGAAATACCACTTAAGGATGAGGCAAATTGACTGTCGCTCATTTTGTCTATGCCGAATTCAGAGGGGGAGCAATTTAGTTGGTCATTGGCAGCACATCTGTTAAGTGATAATAGCATAGGTACCCCCTCACTTCTAGAAAATGAGGGTTCTCGATATCTTTCACTATCACAATTACATTGCCCTTTGCTGTCTGTTAAATTCATACAGGCACACATTCTTCCAGGGGGCAAAGTCTTTGTATTGAAGTGCTCTTTTAAGTCTTGACTTAAGTTATTTGCCTTTCTGTCATGTCTTTGTCTCACAACTTCTTCATCACAAGGTTTTTCAGCTGAACTTGGCAGCATTTCAGCATTCCATTCTCTTTTATCACTTCCAGTTTCCTCTGCAAAAAGCTGGTGCTGAATATTTTGATCAAGTCCTCTGTCAAGGTCACCTGAAAAGCTGTAAAAAGTTGTGCTATTTCCGTTATTGAAATCACCTATGTTTTCTGACTTCTGAAACCTAGGACAACCCTCTGTGACGGCAGAAGTTGCTTGCTCTCTGCATGGTTGTGCTGGTTTAGACTTCAAAAGAGCTATTATCTGTGCCGTGCTCCTGATTTTCTGTGACACAGCCACATGACTGGTTGTCTTGGTGTGCTCTGTAATTGCAGAATATTCTGGTTTCACAATGGACTGATCAGAGTTCCTCTTCTCTGTATCTTTACACGTATCAGGAAATGGAGCAGAAAACAGCGAGCTGAAACATGTATGTTCTTTATCACTGTTTGTATACACCTCTTCATGAAAGTCGGTAGATAGATTTGCATCTGTATCCTTCTTGCAAATCGTAGAAAATAAGGGAGAGGTGACATAAAACTTTGATGGAAAAGAACCCTGACACTGCTCAGATAAAGGTAATACTGTTGCTTTTTCTTCATCTTCCTCTGTCATTATTTTCTTTTCAACTTGGCGTGGCACTTGGAAACCCTAAGAGAGAAGTTTAAAATTAATTCTAGTCATAAACCAAGTTTGCACTTTGTAATCTAAAAGATGACAGCAAGACATGTCTCATAAGCTATATTCTGGCCAAATATCACAGTGATTCATGTACAGAAACAATGTCAAACCCTTGTGACTTTTACTGTACCCTTAGTAACAGCAAATCTGCTAAATCCAACAAAGATTTAGCAAACTATGAAAAAATAACCAGTAACTCTAGTTCCGGTTCAAAAAAAGCAGGGAGACATGATCTATATATCTGTATATTTACCATTTTTTTTTAAAAAAAAAAAAGCCTTTGGTGTTTCAAAATGCAGACAACTTTTGAAACAAAAACATACTGTAAATTTCCTTTTCAACCCAACAGGCAGGTGTCTTGGAGGCAGACCACTAGGCTTTACAACATTTCTATTCACTGCTGGAGTTTCTGCTTTCCTTGGCTGATCTTCAGAAGATTTTTCATCCAGTTTTACTGCTTCAATAGTGATCAGATAGCGTTCACTTTCCAAATTATCTCCAGCATTCAACTATGAAAGAGAATGCAGCAATATGTACATAACAGTGCTACATAAGAAACAAAACCACTTCTTTCTAAATGTTGTGATACTTGCACATAAAAAAACCTCAGATACTTAATGTTTTACACCCAATATAACACTACTCCCCACACAAATTGCCACTCCAAATATGAAAGAAAACATTAACATTTAGTTTTGAGTCATGGTGACTTAATATATCACTGTAACACACTGCTTTTAGCCTAAATTAATACCTTTCTACAAGTTTTCTACATTGGTACTAGAAAAGTTTTATCAATAAATGGAAGCAGTTTTAGCATTTCATTATTTGCACTACACCAATTTTTCATGGAAAGAAACAACAAACTACCAGCCATATCACCAGAGAGAAAAAGAGGTGTTACTGTAATTACTAAAAGAACAAGTTTCAAAAGCCTCCTGAAACGCAAGCCAAGAATCACACAAAAAAAAAACTCTACAATGAAATATACCTGAGATTTTGTAAATATGCTCTCCAAACATTGTCCTTTATCATCAAACAAGACTGCCTGCAAAGAAAAAGAGAACTTCATTTTAAATATCAAGTTCTTTTTTCACAGATCTACAGCAGTAACACTTATAGTCAAACAGCAGCAGATTATATGAAATTGTCTTAAATTTAAGTCGCTCACCTTATTTCCTCCAGTTTTAATCCTCAGTATTCCATCTTGCCATGTTTTTGATTTTTTCATTTTTTGGTGAGTGTATAACACCTGATTCAAATGAGTAAATATTGAAATAATAAGTAAGAAAAGGTTAAATAATTCAGCAGCTATAAAATATAGCTGTCATATGAAATGATATAAAATTGATTTTGCTTAGTTGTTTGCATACAGTTAAAAAAAAAAGACTTACAGTAAATTCTTGAGAAGTCATTGTTTGGCAAAACAGTCATCCAACAGTTTATTTTGCGAATATTCATACCTTCATATAGCCTGAGTGACAGGAAAAAAAGAAAGTCAGAATCCTCTAGAATTGTAAGGAAAATGTATTGAAGAAAACTAATGTCTGATCACTGTTTTTCCCACTCAGAAAAAAAAAAAAAAAGGATGTCTGATCACTTTTTTTTTTCTGAGGGGGAAAAACAAGCGCTAAATGGAAAAAAGTCAAAAAAACTCCACATACATCTTGGCACCCTACCTCAAGGCCTACTTGATGTGGGTACTTTAAAGGAACACCTTGGAAATAATTTAACACAATAATTTAAGCCTCTAGGTTAAAAATAAAAGGCATTTTAATAGGTGCCAACATCTATTTTAAACTAAATGAATGTTGGGTATACCCCATTGATCATACTGTAGTTCAAAATTACAAATTATCACAACTGTTTTTATTGGCCAGAAGAAAACACCATATAAATTACTAATTAGCTAATTTTGTCAAGAGTTTATTGACTTGACTTGGTCATGCATGCTTAACCTCACATTAAAGATAACGGATTTTCAAAACCGGTTGCCCATGAAGCTAAGCTTCTTTACATATTCGAAGTCATCTCAAAATAATTTTAGCTGAAAACAGCTGCTGCTGAAAACAGGAACAAAGTATTATAAAAGCAACTGTTCTTCAGGAGCTGGGTCTTACTGCACCCTCACTAGCAACTGTGGTTGCTAATACTCAGTCAGTACTGTGACTTACATCAGTGTTTGAAGAGCAGCACTTAAGAGGTTATTAACAACAATTAATTGCAATACCATGAAAACTGATTACAGGACACATCAGATTTTCAGCTATTCTCACCTGGCAACAGACTGATAAATATGTAATATAAAGTAGCTACATGCGAGTCTTCTCGTGACACTGCTGCTTACAGCTGTCACCTTCTTGGCATTCCGGGAGGAGCAGTTCGAGCCCTGAGGAGGATGGCGCACACAGAAGCAAACAGGAGACAGGACATTTGGCAAGGTGTGAAGCCTGGGGGGGAAGCAGGCGTTCTCCAGAGACACAGCACCGCTCCTCGGACCACTCACAGCACTTGTAACAAGTGAACTTGATGGAGCTTAGCACGGAAAGCACCACAGCGGCCTGCCGTTTACGCGGTTGCCCAGCCCGCGACAGAGCCGTGCCAGCTCAGCCCTCCCAAGAGCCGCCTCACGGCCTCGCAGCCACCGCCCGTGCGCGCGCACTGACTGGAGCCGCCCCCGAACGCCCCCCCTGCTCCGCGGCAACGGTACCGCCACGGT